AAAAGGAGTGAATGTTTTAGGTACATTAGGTTTATTGCTCAAAGTGATGGTGATATAGATGGATATGTTATAAGTAGATTTCTTGTTGGATGGTTGAAGTGGAGGAATGCATCAGGCCTACTGTGCGATAGAAAAGTACCCTTTAGAATTAAAGAAAAATTTTATAAGATGATGTTCAGACCTGCAATGTTTTATGGCACGGAATGTTGGCCTATAAAAGAGAAGCATAAAATTAAGTCAAGTTTTGCTAGATGAGAATGCTTAGGTGGAGTGGTTTTACGTTTATAGACAAAATGCAAAACGAATATATCTGTGAAAGGGTTGAAGGAGCTCCAGTGGTAGACTAGATTAGAGAGTCTCCTTCGATTGTTTGATCACGTTAAACATCGACCATCTAATGATCCTGTTAGGAGAGTATATGTTTTTGATTTGACTTATGTTAAAAAAAGATAGAGTTTGACCTAAAAAAAGATTTAGGCATGTTGTTTAAAAATGATCTTAATTTATTAGAATTAAATGAAAATATGACATGCAATAGGACACAATGGAGAAAAAGGATTGATGTAACCAACCCACTGAGTGAGATAAAGGCTTGTTCTTGTTATTTGGGTGGCCAATTTCATATACTTAGACCGGCTCACCTGTTTGATGCGAAAACGGTTTTTGATTCTTCCTAGAGTATACATATACTTAGTTCATGATTGAATATGTTGAACTATTTGGTCAGATCCAGTTTTTAAAATCTCAGGCTTTTGTATTAACTTCTTAGATTACCGCGTTAACTTCTTGTTTGTGATTTAGACCTGCCTAAATTACACCCATATTTTTGTGTTTCTGTTTTTTGCATTCAATATTCATAGCATAGAAGTTTCTGTCTGATGCATTTCTTAAAATATTTACTTAAAGTTTAATTCTCGAACATAATTGAGCTCCAGCTTCATTAGCCTGTACAGACCACTGACCATCATTAGTGTTCCACTCTAGCTCCCTGAAAGTGATGACAACAAGCTTGATGATCTTGAATTGCTATCAATGAAACTTAAATGATTTGTTATCAGGTCAAATTTATTTATATATTTTGTTTCAGAGGCACCTTTTGGCATCTTGATATTAAAGAATAATTACATTAGACGTATACTTTGTTCTCTTAGGTGATTTGTTGTAAATATTTGTTTTAGCATTCATCACCCCAATTCGGTTTTTTGTGTCGTATTTTGATGAAAACTCCTAAGTTTGTGCTTAATGTAATTGCCAAGGCATGCTTGTTTAAGAGATCATAATATTTTGTTTTATGATTGTTAGCTTTGTCTCTAGTAGAGGCATACGAAGGGCTTGTGATACTGTTTGCGCTTAATCTACAACATCCAGTATCTAAAATTTTTCCAATGAACTTATCATTCTTGATCTTTCCAGTTTTAATGGCTATTTCCCCACTTCTCTTTGAACTTTGCAGGTGTCTATAATACCAGTTTTTGGGAAATGACTAAGAACAACAGCTAGGTTAGAAAAAGAAAATTAAAGAGTTGACACAAAAGAAAATTTTATGTTTCGGCGTGATTGATTTGCCTATGTTAGACATGATAGATAAAAAAAATTACTTCAATTAAGAAAAGTTCACCATAAATTTCTCTCCCACATAATACTCTAAATATTTTACAGGATAGTTAAAAACCAAACAACAAGGTAGGAGATTCGGAGTTCATAAAGAAACCTTCAGTTAAATTCCTTATTCACAAAAATGAAATCTTTCTTGCAGCATCTTGGTTGCCTACGATCCTACTGCGGTTGCCTCTTTTGCTAAGGTAGTTCACCACGGATGTGGACGTGCGCGCACATATATACACATGATCCTACTGCGATTTTTGTTTCTCTGTATATTTTACATTTTTTTTTTAATTACATCATCTCTTGTTTTCATTTCATTGAACATCCAACCGTCCTCTCTCTCTCTCTCTCTCTCTCTCTCTCTCTCTCTCTCTCTCTCTCTCTCTCTCTCTCTCTCTCTCTCTCTCTCTCTCTCTCTCTCTCTCTCTCTCTCTCTCTCTCTATCATGGACCAGACTACTAATCTCAACAACAACAAGCCTTTATCTCACTATGTGGGGTTGGCTACATGAATTCTTTTTCTCCATTATTTCCTATTGAGTGTCATATTTTCATTTAATTGTATAGATTAAGATCGTTTTTATACAATATGCCCAACTCTTTCCAGGTCTACCTCTGTCTTTCTTAATATAAGTCGAATCTAAAACATCTATTCTTCTAATTGGATCATCAGATGGTCGGCGTGGTCGGCGTTTAATGTGCGTTTAATGTGACCAAACCATCTAAGATGACACTTTCTAATCTTGTCCACCACTAATGCTGCACCAACCTTATCACTGACATATTCATTTCTTATTTTGTCTCTAAGTGTCAAGCCACTCATCCACCTAAGCATCCTTTATCTCAGCAGCACTTAACTTTATTTTATGTTTCTCTTTTAAAGACCAATGTTCTACATCATAGAGCATTACAGATTTCACCAATATCTTATAAAATTTTCCTTTCAGTCTAAGCGGTATATGTCTGTCACACAATAGGCCCGATGCATTCCTCCACTTCTACCGACCAACTTGAAATCTACTAATACTATGCCTATCTATTCACCATCACTTTAAACTATAAACCCGAGATACCTAAACAATCACACCTTTTAATGATTTGATCGCCCATAGTTACATCTCTGTCACTTGAGCTACTACTACTACTAAAATTATATTTCATATATTCAGTTTTAGATCTGCTCAAACAAACGCCTTTAGACTCCAATGCGCACCTCCTAAATTTAGGTTTTTTTTGAACTCTTTCTCTAGGCTTATCCACAAGAAGGATATCATCAGCGAAAAGCGTACACCAAGGTACATCCTCTTGTAAATGTCCAGTAATGTCCAGTAAGAGCATCCATGATCAAAGCAAAAGTATAAGGGCTTAAATTCGATCTCTGATGTAATTCAACTGAAATAGGAAAATACTTGGTCAATCTTTCTTCTATTTGAACACAAGTAACAACTCTAGTATACATTTCTTTAATGACTTGAATATAAGTCATATATCATCACCTTTCTTCTCTAAAATTCTCTAAAGGACTTCTCTTGGAACTTTATCGTAAGTTTTTTCTAAATCGATAAAAATCATATGTAGATCCTCTTTATTCTCTCTATACTCCTCCATCAAACCTCTTAATAAATGTAATAAATGTATAGCTTCTTAATAAATGTATAGCTTACGTAGTGGACCTGCCCGGCGTAAATCTAAATTGTGTGAGAAATCTTTGTATTACGTTTTAACCTATGTTCAAGTATTCTCTCTCATAATTTTAATTATGACATATCAACTTAATTCTTCTATAATTTGCACACTCTTGTGCATGCCCTTTATTTTTAAAAATGGGGCCAAAATATTCTTCCTCCACTCCCCATACATTTTTTTTAGTTTTTAAAATAATATTAAAGAGTTTAGTAAGCCAAGAAACTGTCATATCTCCAAACTATTTCCACACTTCAATTGGGATATCATCAGGTCCTACAGATTTTCCACCATCAGTTTTCTTTAAAATCTTATCAACTTTCTTTTTACTAATGCGACCGTAAAAATAAAACGTTTTATTATTATTAACGATAATAAGATCACTAAGGTCAATTGTATTTTCAAAAACTTCATTGAATAGTTTATTAAAATAGCTCACACACTTATGTTGAATATCTTTTTCTACGAAGAATACTTCTTGATTTTCATCTTTAATACACTTTACTTAAATTAAATTTTTATTTTTCTTTTCTCTTTGTTTGGTCAATTTATACACGTATTTTTCACTCTCTTGAGTATCTGATTTATTATAAGGATCACTAAAAACAAAATTTTTAACGTCACAAATTGTTCTCTTAGATTTCCCACGGGACACTTTATATTTTTCTCAGTTCTCTAAGCTTTTATATTTAAACTAATTTTTATGATATAATTTTTTATATTTTATCTTTTCTTGCATATTATTATTCTACCACCAATAATTTTTTTTTATAATAATATTTTCTTTTCATTCTCCAAGTACGTTTTTTTCGCTTGTTTAATAGTATTTGTTACTTTATCCCACATAAAATTCACTTCTTCATAAACATCTCAAATCTTGAAATCTTGAAGTTTACTCATAAAAATAATTTTATTTGAGTCTTTTAGGTGTTCCATCTAATTCAATGACAATTTTTTCTTGTATTATCTATCTTATCACTCTTTATCTTAAAATTCAGAATTAATAATCAAAATTGAAATAATTTCGCACTGAACTTTTCTTTCTGCCCATATGCTGGAATGGCTCTGTCTATTTCTCCTATTATTAATTAAGGTGGTGATGCAAATTGAAACTGATTTTTTACTTCAGAATTATCCATTTATCATCTGGAGTTTGTCATAACGAATACTTGAGAAAATTCAAATGGCCTCCTTGGTTGGAATAATTTCAGCAACAAAAATTTGAACTTTGATTATCCATATCTTTTCATTGAATCTGATGTTATAAAGAAAAAATGGGACTCCAGTATAACATCTCTCTGTCTCTCTGTCTGTCTCTGGTTGAGCAACATACTTCTAGTAGGACTTTGAAACTAAATTTAGAGTTCAAGTGAAATACTAGTGATAGAAATATGCAGTGCTAGATGCAGAAACAGTTCTGTCATTTTATCTGCCACTTTATGTCCAATTTTTCAGGTGGAATGCATAAGACAAAAATCATGCGTCTTACACTACGTTTATGCATTGTGAATTTGTTCCAACAAACCTGTAAGTCTGAGTGTCATGCACATTTCAAACATCTGCGTTTCGTTTTACACCCTTTGCTTTACTTTTTATTCCTAAAAATCCTCACTGCTTATATCTTCCTCGAAAATCCTAGTATTAATCAATAGGACTATCAGCTGCCCACTTTTATTTCGAACCTTATAATTCTCTTAAATTTTAATAATGTAGGGCAATGACGTGGGGACTCAGTATCGTTCTGGGATATACTACTACACACCAGAGCAGGAGAAGGCCGCCAAGGAATCTCTTGAAGAGCACCAGAAGACCTTGGGTCGGAAGATTGTCACAGAGATTCTTCCTGCCAAGAAATTTTACAGAGCAGAAGAATACCATCAACAGTACCTTGAAAAAGGCGGCCGCTTTGGTTTCCGGCAATCTGCTTCGAAGGGCTGCAACGATCCCATTCGCTGTTACGGTTGATGTTCTTATGGTAAGTATGCTTTATATGTTTTTCAAATATTTATTTCATAAGCAGTTGGAACCTCTTAAATACCGTTGGAATTTAGCTTCTAGTCCGTAAATGTTGTTGTACATAAACCTTATGCATTCCTTTATTTTAGTATTGGGGTGATGTATATAATGTTTTATTTCTGGTGATGTAGGCTGATGGCCTTATAGATGATGCTTGTATGGTATTCAAAATCTTAATCTATAGTTTGCTCATTTGGTTGAATTTTTTTTTGGAAATTATTGATTGAAGTTTTAGATACTGCTTACATCAATGAAGCCTACTCGAGTGAAGTTATATGAGCATGCTGGGGTATAACCAGGAAAAAGGTTCATCTTTTTGTCATTAAAAAATGGGGTTACGTCAAAAGGCTGTTGATACTCATGCAGATGTGGTCAAAGAAGCATGAGAAGCAGTAAATTTTGGAGTGCAATAGATGAGATAACCACAGTTGATCGATAATGAATACGAGCTATGGTGGCCTAAATTTTAAGGCAGAGATAAAACATTTACTTAATTAGGCAAAACATTGCATAATATGGAACAAGATAGCATAGAAGTTAAGAAAATTGAATTTCATGATGGGGTAAAGATAAATATATATATCAAACTATTATTATAAAATTCTCTTATGATTCTCCCATTATTAAGTCTTAGCCTTTCATTCTATTTAAAATGCAAGATGAAGATTCAAATCTCAGCCTATCACTTGGATTAAAAGTTTGCATCACTTTGAAAAAGATACAACAATAACAAAATCCTTTATCACTTTGAAAAGGATGTTAAAAGAATGATTGTGATTCTTGCATTTTAAAATCTTAGCCTTTCATTTAATTTAAAATGAAAGGCTAATATATATCTCAGCCTATGACTAGATTAAAATTTTGCATCACGTTCGTATATATAATATCATGATATTACATTTTTGTCACTGCTTTAAAAGGGTTTGTATAGGATACTTTTTAGTATTTTACATGTATGAGATTATCGCTCGGCTACTATCTGACCCGATCGGCTGAGCTTGTTTGGCTTCAGGTCTACAGGATCGGCATGGTCGGCTGATTTTGTTACCCTTAATAACAGATGGTGGAACTTTTGGACATCCACGGTATTATTGGACATGTTGAGGGGTTAGGTTTTCCCTCAGATCAACTTCTTAGTGGTGGTTGGCTTAGATGCCTTGTTATTTCGTTTCTGATCAAAATATTTGGATTTTGATCATTTTGTCTCCTTTTGCCCTCCTTATGGCTCTATCGGCTTTGGTCTTGCTGTCTTTGGTTGGGATAATTGCTCTCATTCGGATAAATGGACCTCTAGTTCTTTTGTTGGTGGATCTTCCCTCGATGTACTCTCCTCCTCTGGATCGTTAGATCTCCTTAGGATTAACATAGGCACATTTATGTTGTACATATTTTAGTTTCAATATTCTCTTACTTCTTGAAAGTGACTCTGCGATAAAAATAATGGAATTTAATACAAAAAATACTTCACATATATTTTTAGTCAATGATTCAATAATCCACACCTTTGAGTCTTATAAATAAGGTGTGACGAGACTTTTAGTTCATATTTGCTCTCCAACCTTTCTCATTTAAATCGGTCAACTTTTGCGGGGTGCAATGAATAACTTTTAAAACCTCTCTGTTAGTGTCCCCAACAATGATCTGTTTTGTGTTGCCTAAGGGAGACTAAAGGAGTGGTATCGTCCGGAAGGTGAAAAGAAGAAGAGATTATCGTTAAGAAAAGTGGTTGCATTAGCGGATCAGGTAGGGCCATCTAATTCATTTTTCTTAACTCTCGACTGAGGAATGTTCAAGCGACCGACCCAACCATTAATGTGTCGGCTCAACCTTTTGTTTTGGCTCAGGACCCATCGGTTGAACTTACAGTGCAAGCAGCTACTAGTGCTAAACCGTCATCTGAGACGCAAGGAGCTACTGGTGCTCTGCCACCACCCTTTGAGGGTGACGCCTCAGTTACATTGTCGAAGTGAGATTGACTCCTTGGTATGAGGAGCCTTGATCTTTATTGTTAGATTTTAATTTTTTTGTGTCAATTTTTATGTTCTATTGATTTGGCTGACCCAATAGTAATGGGTGATGGCTCACCTTTGCCAACTATTGGTGGAAAACCAATCATAGCGCTGCAGCAACTATCCAGTTTCCGGTCGGGAGCGACAAACTTTCGAGTGAGGATGGTGGGATTGACTGCTCAGTCATTCCTATCGGGTCTGCAGAGAAGCAATTAATGGACATCAGCCATCCCCTGGATCATTGTCTCGTTCCCTAAATGAGATCGAGAACTCATTCTCTCAATCAACTGTGATTAATCGAGGCAATGATAAATGTGAATTTCTTACTTGTTTGGAGAATGTGGAGAGGATAGAGGAGGAAATGACCATTCTTCACCGGGAACTGTTAGACGTGTGAGAGCGATCCTTCATACTTCAAGCAATGTAAAGACTGATCGGGCGAGCTAGTTCAAGTTTGAGGGAGATGTTTTGTATAAGAGACTAGTTTGGTTAGGGTATGTCTCTGTTGAAGCAGGAGACGATCCCCTTATAAAATATTTCCTTTCAGAATAGTTCTCGAGTGCTTCTTTTAATTTTTAATGTCTTTTTTCAAAATAAATTTTATTCTTTCATCTCCATTCTTGTATTGATGTGATCCTTTTACCAGCACGTTTTCAAAATTGCTATGAAAATCCATTTTTACCCTTTTGTGATGGTTTTGTTCCCTTCATTTCCTTATATATATATAAGCATGGGGGCTTTAATGAATGATGACTACGCTTTTATCTTTTTCTACTCATTTTTCTTCACTCTCTTGACTTTCTGCTTTCGCAGTCTACTCAATGGCTCCAAATTCCTTCCAAAAGGATTCAGGTCGGTTGTCTCAATCGATCGATCGATAATAACTCGGGGGGAAGTCAATCGGTTATAGGAGACTTGCATCATCAATTCAACTGTGAAGCTTAAGGTTCCTAGTGAGGATGTTTCAGATACTACTCCTTTTGGTGCATATCTTATCCTATATAAGGATCAATTCCACTTCAGTTTAAGACTACCTCTCTGTCGGGAGCTGTAGATCATTTTCAATCACTACGAAATTATTCTGGACTGGAACTATCAAATCTCATAGCCGCAATCATGATCTTTGTAATTTTCTACCATCGGTCTGGAATCCTTTGGTCGATGTAGATCTTCACGTATATAATTGCATTCCAGGTTAATCCGGACGGCTTCGTGCAATTCATGTCTCTCAACAAGATCCAGTTGCTCGGGTTGGACAATAAATGGAAGGATTGGAAAAAAAAGTATTTTTCCTCAGTTCTTCTCCTTGGGGGTGGTACATTCAAATCGTTTCGTCTTGCAGTGCCCACGCCAAGTCAAAGAAGAATATGTTGGATCAGATATTGGTGGAACTCTCGAAGGTCAAATTTGTCAGCTTTCGGTCCGACAATTCCTTGATTTGGTAAGGTGCTACAGTCAGACACCTTCGATTGGATGATGGAGGAGGATTGGCTGGCTTTTGAAGCTCATGAGGCTGAGAGGGAGGAATCAGTTGTCGCATGAGCTATAAAGAAGAAGGCCCATGTGACCGATCAGGTTGAATTTGCCTGCCCCAAAACTGCTGGAGTGGCGGGTTGACATGAGCCATTGGTGATTTGCGCTGGGGAGGATCGCGAAAGTACGAAAATGGTTTACTCTGTGTCTGGTTCTTTTATTATTTTCAAAGTATAGCCACTATTGAGCTCATCCTTATTGAGAGGAAAATTGTTGTGGTGCCCACTAAAAATGCTTTGTTGGTTGCAAGTCCCTCGGGCACATAAATGCCAAGAGGCTGATAGGATGACGAACTTTGGCAGAGTCAAGCCGATAGGACAACGAACTTTGGCAGAGTCAAGCCGACGTAATGAGAGGCTTTGGTTGAACAATAACAAGAAACATCTATCACCCTCGGTCAGTCCCTCCCTCTTTCATCAATCTTCCTGCTCGAGATAAAGCAAGCCTTCCTTATTTGGCTTACCTAAGCGAACCCGGGTTCGAGCCCAAGCCCTCCATCCAAGAGGAGGCATGCCACAAGGGAAATGCAGATGTGTCTGACTTGAGTGACTTAATTCCTCCCCCACCTCACAAGAAGCATGAGTGGTCTTCGCTTAGTTGAATTCCAATGCAAGACAAGGGGGTCAAGGTGAGCGCCAACTCAAATGTTTGGTTTGCCTTAATCGACCTTAAGAAAGACTAGTATCCTGAGTCCCATGCCATGGCTCTTTACCTTTCAACCCTTGTTGATGCCAATTGATCCCACGCCTACGAGAGGGTCCTTATGGAGCAAAGCCTTTCTAGCCTATGCCCCATCTGATAGGTATTAATTGATGCCTTGTGAGGTTTTTCACTTCTAGTTGACGATTATCTCTAGAAAGTGTTGATGACTAGAGGCTGAGGGAAAGCTAGTCACGACCGAGGAGAGGGTAAAAAAAGCGGAGGAAAGGTTGACAAGAATTGAAGTCCAGGTACTCAAGCAACAAGAAAAAAATCGAGTATTGCGGGAGAAGATTGTCGAAATGAAGACATCCGACAATTTTTTTGTCGATCTCTCCACCCACCCGCACAGGTGAAACTTCTCACTTCAAAGCTCAGGGAAGGGGTAGCCTTCAACATTGGCCCGCTAGTGATGATGAATTTTGTCTCCTCTGAATGGACCAACATGGAGAAATTTATCACCCGGATTTTGGACTCAGAGTACTGGGAGAAAGACGAGAGTGATGAAGATGATGGAGAGTCGTCGAATGTATGACTCGCCTTTAGCTTCTTCTATAATTTAAAAAAAAATCTTTTTTTTTTTTTTGAACACTTGTAAAATAATGTTAGGAAATTTTATAAATTTTCAATCATGAATAGAAATAAAATTCTTGATTTTTTCCCCTTCATTCTTTTCATTTGACCTTTATTACGCATTTATTTTTCTTGAGATAAATGCTTGGTTGTGATAGTGGATAGGTTGACAATCTTTAAAAATGTTTTCATTCAATTTGTTGAGTTATCACTGGCTCAAAGTCGTATATTTCTCATGTCTCAGTTGCTTGGTTAGGTGTTGCCGTGGACAGGCTGCACCATACGATAGACATATTAAGTGGATCTTGTTGTAACATTCGTGTGGGTAATCATCAGGACTTGTAATTGGGGTGATTCAAACGCTGCTCACCACAGGCCTTATTGCTAA